ATGTTAGAAGTTAATCAGCCTTTGGGTTTTTTTTCACCTATAAGGTAGAAATTTATATAAATTTCTTCTTAGTGAAGTGACTAGTGCAGGTAGAGATTAGCTTAGTGACTTGTACCATACTAAATTCACTATACATATTAGCTATCACCATGAAAAAAATGCTCTGCAGGGAAATTTGATTTATGGGCAACATTTAAACACATGATTGATCATAAGTATTGAAATTGATCTGCTGGGGGAGGGGAAATGGGATAGGAGATTTGTGGAGGAAAAACCAGGAAGGAGGACAACATTTCAAATGTAAATAAATAAAATGATCACTAAAAATAAAAAAAAATATATTGATCTGTCTTCTAAATTCTAGCTGAAAACTATAAGGTGAACAGAATTTTTTTTTTCCTGTGTAATCCTGGACACACTGTTTTCTTCATATAAACATTAACATTGCAAAATGAATGAATTAAATGAAGTTAGAGGAGGCTCTCAAGCTGAAGCTTCCATGTGGTATGATCATTTCTCTCCCTGTCTTAGATGTCAACTCCACAGGAAACTTCAGATTTGCTTCTGGAAAAGATATTAAGGGACTTTACCCTCAAGCCCAGCCCTCAAGAAAAAGTTGATCTTGAAGTATAGAGTTTGGTGGTTGAGAACTCTTCCTATGGGGTGTGCTGATCAGGTAATAAGGCTTTCCTGAAAGGTTGTCTGATGACATGCACATATGAGGATGTTTCCCTAAGCTCCTGATGGCTTGCTATACTTTCAGAGTGCTCTATCTATTACATGGGTTTAACTTTGACACATGAACTGGATTCCATCTCCAGACTAAAAATGTCATCCCAACCATTCCTCCTTAATCTTATCTCATATGTCTGCCTCCCAATGAGCAGGCACTTCCTAAGTTCTCTCAGACTAAGTATGGTGATGGGAGTGGTCAGAGGCTATATGATAGACAGCAGGCAGAAGAAGAAGGAGTTCATGGAGGATCATTCTCTCATGGAATAACTTACTCTCCTAAGTTAGGAAAGAGATGGAGCTGGGAATCAATGATCAAGGCTATATCACATGTGCTGTCCTTTTCCACCTTTGAGTTATAGAAAACTTGCTTCCTCACCTACTCTTATATTTAAGGAAACATAAATGAAACTGTTAGTATTGAAGAGATAGCCACCTGAGTGGAGAGAATATTGTGGAAGGTGATGTTAGCATTGAAAGCTATTAGTGTTAGCTCAAGTAAACTGTTCCAAGAAATACCTCATCTCATATTACAAACCTCCCTGATTCTTTGTGTAAAAATTATCATACTCCTAGAAATGTTCACTGGCCCATACCGACTTTAGCCAAGTTTTCAAATGTCTGTGTTCAGTGTGGTTTGAATCAGAACGACTCCAATCTACCCAGATGTTTGATCACTCTTTAGATGATTTAGAAGGTGTAACCTTGCTAGAGGAAATGTGTTACTCAAGGTGAGCTTTGGATGTCTATATTGTTACCCTATTTCCAGTTCTCTCTCTCTTCTTGGAGCTTGTATTTAAGATATCTTGTACTTGCTGACATGGTTTCCCACCATCATGGACTTGTATCCCTCTGGAAGCATAAACTCAAATAAACTCCTTCCTTCTGTAAGTTGCATTGGCCCTGGTGTTTTATCATAGCAACAGAAAACTAACTACTACACCGTGAGTGTTATGCTTCATCTGTAAAATGAGAGGTGATAACTTGCCCAAAGTTCTCCAGTACACCATGCAGTGTAGTTATAGGGTATGGCAGCAACTGTTATCAAGGCAGTGCTGAATCCAAATCATCTTGGTGTTATTCAGAATTCAAAGGTTGATTGTTTGTTTTATGTGTTGTTTTTGTTTTTTCTTTTCCTACAGCTTGAAAAAACTGAAAATTGATTGGTACCTAAATAATTATGAAATGGAAAATATAACAAATGGGCACAGAATTTACAGAGAGTATATTTTAGATGTTTTTGATGCCTACTTAAGAATTATGATCATATAGTTGACAATAAGTCTCATCTGTTTTTCTTGAAACTCTTATGCATGTTCTTTTAGCTTCTATTTGTGGAATTCTCATGGGGAGAAGAATCTATCCTGGGAAGTCTGAGTCAGTAACAGCATGGGACATGTGAGATAGAGGCTTTGCAAAATTTGAGTTGAGACCAAAATCCATTGTACTAATTAGATACTGGAGTCTTTGCATAATTACACATGCTCAAGGGACATGACAGTGCTAGCTGTCTCTCATGGCTGCTGTCGTGTAAGCACTGAAACAAATTCCACTGTAATGAGTACCATCTCTGTGTTTGCAGCTTGGAGATGCAGTGATATCATCACAGAATAATGATTAGCTGAATCTCAGAGACGCAGTTTTCCACCCTCTTACCCCCTGCATTTTATTTCATTGTTATCAAATGAAGTAGAGAAAGTAATCACCTTAAATTCTGTAAAATCTAAGTCCTTAGTCAGATGAATTGCTATATAAGTCTTGAATTACATTCAATATGCTTTATGGTCATTTAACATAATATTTTGCATGCCAATAAGTAATACAAGATACAAAATGCTAGTGTATTCATGATAATACAGTCATTCACTTGTATAGGTGAAGACATGGAAAACCATAAACTGTGAGAATATTTTCAGCTACCAAGCTTATAAGATATAGAATAGATGTTAAACATATTCTATGTTATAAACACAGTATTTGAAGCTGTGGAAAATGACATACCCTGTGAAAGATAGAGACAGTATAACTGTTGTAGAGGGGAAGGTGATGACATCCACCAACACTGAAAGCATGCTCTTTGTCCAAGGAACTCCCATGATAAGGTTTTCATTGTTATATTCAAACATAAATCTTAAGCTTTATGAATAGTTATATTTATTGTAGCTTTTCACAACAATAACAGAAGTAAAAGAGACACAAATATCTGTGAGCACTAATAATCAGGACACAAACATATTAGATAGCATCTTACATCATTTCTTCTTTTGGTTTGAATTTCTTTTTAATCTAGTGTATTGTATGACTTACTTCAGGGGACACATGGCACAGACAAATGCAAATAAAAATGAAATAGAGAATGTTTGCTTTTCCATTTTCAAAGACCAGATCCTGACATAAACAGAATGTTAGAAAGCTTGTGCAGTTGAGTAAGAAAATCTTGTTCCCATAGATTTAAGGGGAAAAATCCCTAGGCTTTGAGGGTGAGACAGCATTAGAGGTGAATCAAAGAATTATTTTTCCATTTAAGGCTGAGTCTCAGGGTGAAAGTTAACAGGATCATAGATTATTTTTGGTTGAGTAACAGAGAATAAAATTAGGAAAATGACAAAGCCCTTGACTACATAAGAGTTCTTGATGTGGGGCTGAGGATAGAGTGGGTAAGCTGTGTGATGTGACTAAAAGCTGCATCTGAGAGAGCCTGTGAGGATTCCCTCAAATTCCATGCACTGTTGCAGTGGGAAAACCCAAAGGCCTGAATTGGAACCAGCAGTGACCGGATTTTACAGGAATCATCACTGAGAAGGATGCATGATAGCACACAACTCTGCAGTTGCCCACTCTCATGGAAAGTCACCAAGGTCCTCATGTCAGGTGCCTCTGTCAAGTGCCTTCTCGGTTCCTTCTCAGTTCTACAGAAGACTTGCAAAATTCAGCCAGAGAATTAAAAATATGATTTGAGAGATTTGAGAGATGTATGACCACCCAAGAGAATGGAATCCTCACAGAAATAAAGTTGAGCAAAGAAAATTCAGTGCCTACCGTAGCTCTTCTTGTAAAATGATATAACTTCTCACAGCTCAGAGCAGTCAGGAATACATGCTGATTAAAATTAGTGAGACATGTAAATATCTCACTAGACATCTGATAGAAAAGAGCTATAATTTAAATGTTAAAAAAGAGGGTTAGACTATCATTAGTTCAGCAGTTCCTTCATTGGGGTAGCACAAAGACAAAGTAGAAACAATTCAGATAGCTTGTATTGCCATTGCACAAACAAAGTAAAATTTAAAAAAAAAACCTTGAGCTAAACATTACAAAGATACCAATGACACGATATACTTCACTCTCTAGAGACTGCAGCTTTTATTTATACCATGTCTATACAGACTTCCCTTAAGCTAAGGGCATGCATTTGTTTTATAGTAAATAATAAAGTATCCCCTTTGTACTATACCATGTCTTGTAACCCATTCTACTGCATTAAGATTCCAGTAATGCAGTGATTATCTTGATAATTCAGGACAAAATGAACAAAACCACATGACTTTGGAAATACCTTTGGAATGTAGCAGAAAGATTTCAGACAATTTCTTAGTTTTCTTTTGCTCTCTCGAGGAAGTATCCCATGTACCTTTAAGGAAAACTTTTCTGTATCACACACCAAAGAGGATATGTAAGTTTTTCTAAATGTAAATCTACAGGAAACTTTGCTAAAACTGTATTAATAATCAAAATGAGGATGGATGGCTTCACAGACTAGATACAGTCATGTATTTTCATGTTCCCCAGCATACAGACATGAATGCTGGCAACTAGCTTTGAGGAAACCAGAACTAATATGTATAGATAAGTAGGGATCATTTTGAGTTCATCTTATAGTTATTTCAAACACATCTGTTCAGTAGATTTGCTAACCCCTTTGGACTTGTACTGTCATGGCTATAAGCTCCAGGGCTGAAATGATTTCTCTGAAGTGGATACCAAATTACAGTGAATGAGTGAAATTGTTTATTTTTGAGAAACATAGCCACTTGATGAACTTAAGTTGGACTCATCAATGTGTAACTATATGCTGACAATGATAGTTTGCTTTATGCATGCTGAAGCAGCAAGGCTATTAAAGACCATCTTACGGAAACCTTGTATATTGGATAGAATGCCACACCCTGCATAGCTTGGTCCTGGAAACCTGACAGGGACAGCGGGGAGATGAAGAAAGATCAGAGATACCTGAAGCAAATCTGGGATTAAATAGACTGTGTGCTCAGTGGGGGAATGAAGAAAGAACAGACATACCTGCAGTAAAGCTGGGATCCAATGCATTGTGCGCTCTGATAGAGGCAAACCAACAGCAATCCAGAATCCATCATATTTATTTTATATATCTGGAACTGGGTTTATTGTATGAAGCTGAATGAAGAGGCAGGCTTAGCTAATCTAAGTAGGAGGTCTCTGTAGAAGATCAGTCTCAGGTTACCGTCATCCTGGAGGAGAAACTTAGGCTTGGTAATTATTCCATACATTGATCAATTGTTCATAAATTATACTAGGGCTAGAGGAAGACGTCTCCATTCTCGTGCCTCTGAGGCACTGGGGTCCTTGATATGGCTGTGCTTATGTCAATAATATGCAGGACTTCATCTGCTCCCCTAAAGAGAGGGTCTTGCTATGTGTAGCTCAGGCTGGCCTCAAAGTTTCCATCCCTCTTGACTCTTAGATCCTGAGTGGTGGTTATATCATTCATGGTCATCATCTTCTTATGATTTTCACCATCATCCTATCAAGCTTTAACTTCATATATTCGACATTAAACACTTTATGTATCTATTGCATTTAGTGTTTTAGGCTATACAAACTCAACACACTATTAATAAGAACAAAATCATAATAAAATTGTTTTACAGCAGCCACATGAAACTTGCTAAATAAATAGGTAATAGTTATAGAAGTCTTCGAGTGACCAGGTTTTCCTCTACACAGGGCCTCCTCACACATGCCTTTGAGGGGCTTGTGAAACATTATGATTTCTTCTCAAGTTGGAAGAAAACAATAGTTACAATCTAGCTTGAATTCACAGTTATACCAACAACACCATCAAATACAAGACTATGTGATTTTGTAAAGACAGAGCCCAGGACATCTGCTGTGGCCCTGGGTCCTTCTGCAGTACAGTAAGAACAAAATGCAGAGTGAGCAACACTGGAGCTATTTACTGGGTTCACTGAAACCTATAGAGCTCAGTGTGTGCCCCAGCAGTTATGAAAGAAAGCTCAACCTGCCTTCCAAAAGGAATACACTGGAGTAGATAAGAACAGTCACAAAAACAAACAAACAAACAAACAAACAAACGGAAGCTTCAAGTAACCCATTCTCTCTATGTTCATTGGGGGAACAGGATTCACAGGGTTTTATTGTGTTCCACATATAAGACAGGTATCATGATCTGTGAATAGGGCCTTAGCAGAAGGGAGAGTGAGGGTCTTTGCTAAGCAAACACAGAAGGAGGGCATGAACAAATGAGGTGAGGCAGAGGCAACACAGTGAAGTCTAGGAGTCTGAAGATGAGACAACCTCCCAGTCAGGTCCCAGCAATGTGGACTTACTTGGAGAATCTGTGGTCCCTTAACCATACTCTGTCAGAGAGATGTTAGCAAGGGAGAGAAGATCAAAGGGCAGCAGAAGGCAGTCCTGCCATCCCCAGCGGGAGACCCTGCTTTCACAGGACTTTTATATTTTAACCTGGCTTGCAAAGCTGTTTGTTATACATTGTAGTTATGAATATCAGAATCTAGATAATGTATGACGTTGCCATACATTTCTCTTCAACAGAGAAACCCATAGGTTTACTATGATTCACTCTTCTTTTAGGGGCCTGGAGGAGGTTTGTTTTCCCCGCTAATAAATATTAAAGGAACTGATCCTCCATCCTGCACTCCAGAGAAGGATATTTGTCTATTATTGTCAAGTCATCAAAAATACCCTGAAACAGTTAACTTTATTGATGCTCAGCATACACAGACAGTCTCTCTTGGACAGTCAGAGCTTTGCCCAAGGGAATAACCATTCCTACCATAATCAGGCAGATGTGACGTCCTACTTCTTCATACTAAATCTTAAGTGTGAAAATGACTTCAGGGAGTGTAAAGAGTCACTGATAACAGGACACACTGTCGATGAAAGAAGCCTGGCCATTGAGGATGCTGCTATTGTGATGCAGGAACAGAGATGAGGTCCATGAAGGCATCCTTTCATCAAATTGAAAACATCTCTTAATTTCGCAAATTTGGCTTACTCACATATCTTGTACCTTCAACATTTTCATGCAGATAGATTTTCACTCTTTCCTTCATAAGGGAAGCAAATATGATTCTGTCTCAGATACACAACCTGTGTGGAATGGTCATAGGCCCTGTAGACATGTGTTTCTGTATCATAAGAAGCCTCCTAGACACAGAGCTCATGTAGATCTGGATGCCTTCTCGACATTGCTATGAACAGTTCTCTTACAGGCTGTGGGACAGCTTGGTGTGTTCGTAGGGGCTGAACTGTTGGAGGTCAACAATGGATGTATCAAATGCTGCTCCTCTGTGAGCACACATTGTCAACTGGAAGAACTGGAGCTGAGAGCTCCTAGATCCTGCACTGCCTACGATGACAGCTTCCTGTACAGGGACTAGAAACATGCAGGGAAAATAAGCCACTTGCCTTCTGGACTAATCAGTCATTCCATGACACACACAAGACATGTTTGATTTTAATAATTTCTGCATATATAAAATATTCAAAGCAAATATGAATACTTTGAAAACTGAGGTGAGTAGATATTTGTCAATATTTCCCCAAGAATAAAGTTACACAATACCCCAATCAGTACCAATTCGATGTCTCAATATCATATGATCAAAGTGTGTGGTATCTTCAGCAATAGTACCTTAAGTTCTGGAGGACGGTCAAGAGCAATGGCAATTTGCTGTATTGTTTTGGAGGCTCTCCAGGATGCCACTGACCAGCAACTTGTGGTATCCTACATGTGGCACTGGAATTTTTAATTAGATAGCCTATGGCTTCAGGAGAAAACGTTATCCTTTTTGTACAGTAACTCCAGTTGAACTTTATATGGATATAAAAAGTCTGTATATAAAGCTTATAAAATACTGGGTCTCCATATGGCTTTTTCAAACAATCCTTCGTGTTTCTTATCCCTTCTCTGACCCACTTTCCATCCTCTGCAGTTGAGCCTCATCCCCATTATTGCTCCTTTCCCTTTTATGGTTCCTTCTTTAAGATTTTTTTCCCACTCCCTCCTACCTAACATTAATGATTCTTCTCCAATTTCACGGATTCTACATGTACTCTACGTTGAACACATACATCTAAAGATTTGATGCTAAGTTTCATATATGAGCAATCAAGTGAGAATTTTGGTATTTGGATATATACCCAAAAGTGGTATAGTTGTGTCTTGAAGTAGATGGATTTGAAGCTTTCTGAGAAACCACCATATAGATGCCATGATGGCTATATGAGTTTGCACTCCCACCATCTATGGAGGACCGTTCCCCTTCTTCCACAGCCTCGCCAGCATAAAGTGTCACTTGTATTTTGATCTTAGCCATTCTGGAAGGTGTAAGATGGAATCTAAAAATCATTTTGATTTGCATTTTTCTGATGGCTAAGAATGTTGACCATTTTTAAAAATAGTTTCTTAGCTATTTGTGTCTCCTTTATTGAGAATTCTGTTTAAGTCTGTATTTCATTTTTAAATTTGATTTTTTTATCTAGTTTCTTGAGTTCTTTATATATTTTGAATATAAAGCCCTTTATTAGATGTGCAGTTTGTAAAACTCCGTTCTATAGGGTGCCATTTTGTGCTATTTACAGTGTCCTTTACCTTACAGAAACTTTTCAGTTTCATAAGGTCCCATTTATTAAGTTTTGTTCTTAGAGTCTGTGCTATTAGTATTCTGTTCAGAAAGTGATCTCTTGTACCTATGCGTTCAAGGTAATCTCCTACTTTCTACTGTTTCAGGTTCAGTGTATCTGGTTTTATGCTGAGGTCTTTGATCCACTTGGACTTGTCTTTTGTGCAGAGTAACGAATCTTTTCTTCTACATGCAGACATCCAGTTAGTCCAGCACCATTTGTTGAAAATGGCGTCATTTTTTTCTCTCAGTGTATATTTCTGGCCTATTTATAAAAAAAAAAAATCAGGTGTCCATATATATGCAAATTTATGTCTGGGTCTTGAAGTTGATAAACATATCTGTTTTCATGCCAATAACATGTATCTTTTATTACTTTAGCTCTGTAGTATAACGAATCAAGGATAGTAGTGCCTCTAGCAGTTCCTTTATTGATCTGGATCAGTTTAGTAAACTTGGGTTTTTTTTTCCATATGAACTTGAGAATTGTCCTTTTAAAGTCTATAAAGAATTGTGCTGGAATTTTGATGGGTATTGTGTTGAATCTATAGGAAATTTCATAAAGTACAGAGAAGAAAGTATATTTTTTTATGTTCAAAAAATGCTCCATAAATAGCTTTTAGGTCCATTTGGTTTATAATGTCTATTACCATTGCATTCCTCTGTTTAGTTTTTGGCTAGAAGATCTGTCTATTGATGAGGTATTGAAGTATCCAACCATCAGTATGTAAGTTGTTGATATGTGGTTTAAGCTGTAGTAGTGTTTTGTTGTTTCTTTTTGTTTGGATTGGTTTTGTTTTTCAAATTTGGGCACCCTTCTGTTTGTGGCATAGATGTTACAAAGTAAAATGTCATCTTAGTCGACTTTTTCTTTTGATGAGTATGTAGTGTCCTTCCCTATCTCTGATAACTAGTTTTGGCTTGAACGTCTATTTTATTAGGTATTAAAATGGCTACACAAGTTTGTTAGTTAGTTACTTTGCTTAGAATATCTTTTTCAAACATTTTATCCTGAGCTAATGTCTATCCTTGATGTTAAAGCATGTTTCTTGGATGCAACAGGATGGATCCTAATTTCAAATCCACTCTGTTAGTTGGTGTCTTTTTATTAAGAAATTAAAACCTTGATATTGAGAGATATCAATAACCAATGATTACTGATTTTATTTTGGGGGGTTGGTGTCATTGGGGTGAGTGTGTGTGTGTGTGTGTGTGTGTGTGTGTGTGTGTGGTCGTCTTTTCATAGATTTCCTGGAGGTTTTGAGTCGGGAGGTTTTGTTTTATTTTTGTTGTTGTTTTAACTTTTTATTTTTACTGATATATCAATTTCTTCTGTTATATCTTCAATCTCTAAGATTCTCTCTTCCATATTCTGACAGTGAGGCTTGAAGCTGTAACTCCTGTTAAAATTCCTAAATCTTTAATCTTTAATCTCTAGGATTCCTTCAGTTTGTTTTCTTTATTGGTTCTGTTTTCATTTGCTGGTCTTGAATAGCATGTATGTATGTATGTATGTATGTATGTATGTATGTATGTATGTATGTAAATTATCTATGTTTTCC